TTGCTCGATCGGAGGGATTTTTCAAAACCAAAACAATCATCATGGAAAACATACTCTAACGAGGATCACAAAGATACGTTAAGATGAGCATTCAGGAAAGTCAGTCAATTCAGGCGTTACTTGATCAATTTGAGCAGCAATAATTTAGAGTCGAGTTGAACAGTTGAGTTGAGTGCATGAGATAGAGCAAAGGAACTGTGCTTAAAGTACCTGAACAAATTCACACTACTCTCTGACTTGCAATGGATGAGAAGAGCCAAAAAAAACCGAAAACGAAAAATAATTTGAGATAGAGTCAATAGGGCAGTGCTGCTGTTGTTCAAAGCGATGACATGACGGCTTCATGATTATTGCAAAAAAGCATCACACGTTGACACGAAAAAAACAAAAATCCAAAATAAACATCTTCACTTATCATTAGACAAAGTAAATATACTTCTGTTGTGCGTACACTGACACGCAAATTACGAAAACGAAACCAAAATACAAAAGTGCTTTCTGCTATCATATAATATTTCAATTACGACATATTGTTTCATAAAACTTTTCTCTCTACTTTAAATTTCATTCACCGACTTGTCGAGAACCGAAACTGTTCCGGCGATCACATTCACTGTTGTTCAAAGCTGATCAGCCACTAAAACCTAACCATTTCAAACCAAAAACATTACTGCTATAAACGAACAAAAAACAAGACCTTTTACATCTTTGAATCAAGACAATAACTCAAGCAATATCATTTCATGCTTCTTAGAATATTTTCGTCGCAATAACATTCGCTGTTCTTCACAAATACAAATACAACTACAGCAGCATGCACAAACTCATCAAACACAAAACTACTGAACTGGAACAGAATTTGATTCGAACGAATAATATTTTTCAAATGAATACATATGTACAATTATTAGAACAGTAACGATCGAACCTTTTCACACGTGAAACATTACGCAAAAATATTTTACAGAATAAAAGGCGATCAAAACACAAGAATGGATGGATGAAGTATGATGCATAATAAACGAATCAATACGAAGACACCAACGACCGTTTTTCAAAAGAATCATCAAAATAGGATGATTCCATATGAAAAAATGACAACAAAAACAACACGAATATTAACGCATGATGAGCAAAATCGCATATCGCTGCTGCATGCATACAAATAAAACTGAAACGACAACAATCAAAGCAAACAGTTCCAACTGAACACCACCATCAATGACACATGCACAAAACCCTTAGAATATCAACAATCACGATTGTGAGCACAACCACATAATATCACTAACCATACCAACAATAACAATCATAATAATAATAATATCAATAATAATAACATTACTATCAAGACAAGAGCAACAACTGTGACAATACTACAACCACAAAAACATCAAGAATAACGAGAACAATAAAATAATACAAACAAAACTATAATACCACTAAAAATACGAATCTCAAAACTCCGCTCCAAAATCCGAAAACGTCCAAAATACTCCAGAACTAAATACGCTAACTCGACGATACTTCATACTGCTTTTGCAATGCTATCCATCCATCCATCCACCGTAATGTCGAAACATTGATCAAGATGACGAAGAATTCACCGATGTCTGCAGTAATAACGGCAAACGTTCGCTGGATGTTTGTAAATTTTTGCGGTTTTGTGAGTCGAACGTTGCCGAACGATTTCTTAAACACTGCGTAATCAGTGGAATGCTTTCGGAGTTTGCCGATTGTGTGGCATCCAATTTACGATGAGGCGGAGGGTCGTGCTCGTAGAACGATGAGATTATTAGAGCCGATGATGATTCGTAATCGCTGTCATTCTGTGGACTTGACAGTGAATGATCTTGACGATGAAGTACACTATGTGCAGGACGAGGGTACCACTGTTGTTTTGGACGTTCAATCTGATTATAATCACAAAACTGTTTCGATTTCTTCTTCTGAAATTCAATCAACAACATCAAAATGAAAACACTCCCGAACAGCATTCGATGGTTGCTTTAAGAAATCTTTCACTGTCTTTGTGTATTTGAAATAATAATTTCCAGAACACTAATATTTCTGCTCATTAAACTACTCAAATCTTCCAGAAACCGTCCGAATTACTCGACTGAATTCGGTCACGATTCATCTGTTGAATTTCGTGCAAACAAATCAACTATTTGAAACAATCTTCTTGTATCTTATTCACGATCAGTCAATTCCTTACTTTCTCTCAAATGGAACACAACTACCAAATTGATCATGAATGATACCCAAACACAAGAATGAATACTCATAATTTTCTGATCCAAAATTCTTCAGCACGTAAATTTTCAAGTTTTTCAATCGTTATCATCAACTCCAACTAATAACATTCTACGTTCCACGCTTTCAGCTAAAAGTATATGGAACTCTTCACCGCAATACCAAAACTAATATAAGTACTAAGGAAAAAGTAAAAAATTGCGCAACAATTATATAGAAGGAAACGAATCATGACTAGTATACTTCTTGCACTCAAGCAATTCCCGAACCATGGACAATGCACTCAGTAGATGCAACGTAGCAACTGCTCCGGCAAAACCAATACCCCAAGCAACAAAATTATAGAATATGAGCAACATGTTTCGCATTAAAACATTGCAAATCAACCATCCAAAATGAATGCCATAGCGGTAGCAATATCCAAACACAACTTCCCAGTTAGTTAACTTTAAAATTATTATCACATAAATAGCACAACTCCTCTGCGCATCTTCGAATATAAACCCTAACAATGATGCAAAGGTGAGGCCATCAAGCTTCAGTTCAGTTCAAATAACCACATGTGATACAGATTCAAATTATAAGTAAACGCAGAATATAATGTCAACAGAATGAAAATGTGTCATCGTGTGAGATTGTTTAATGGTAAATAAAGATGGTGAATGAACAGAAACCGAAAAGAAACGATAAAGAAAGCGAAATGAAAGAGAGGTAAGCGCATGACTCACGTGAAATGAATCCCTACCGGCTTTCGATCTCGATCTCTTCGACATTGATGCACTTCTACGCTGCGAGTTTCCCCCTGAACCCGACCTCTTACGAACGTGAAGTTTATTTTCACCTGCTGACAGCCTGCAACCAGCAACCAAAACACTAAAAATCTCATTGATTCTATTCATGCACACTATTCGAATTCAAATATTATTCCATTTTTGTTGAACAAATGCGCTGAAAATACAAAACTCCATATATGACAAATTCCCCCCCCCTCCCCCTTAAACTGCTCAAAAACCTTAACTTAAAATTTCAAAGAAAAAAACGTAAAACACAATAAGTACTCATAACAACAGCAATCATTATGAGAAAAAATCAAAAAAAAACAAATGCAAAAAAATAACCTCTTCGATATAGTGTGCAAAGAAGCGCTTAATACAGGT